TGAAAAACTGATAAAGAGGCCCAAAGCTTTTTTTCTTATTATGAAAGGAATATCTGTTTTTCCAAGTTCTGTTTTCTACTGTTCTCTATCATGCAAATGTTTTTCTAGGTGAGATTAAAGTCCCAAGAGTACTTGGTCAAGGCTGAGATATCCTCCTCCATGCTTGGGTGAGAAAGGCCTTTCACCTCTGTAGTTTCTGCAGCCAGGCTTGACAGTATAAACACTTACAGGATTGGGAGACAAAGGGCTCCTTAAATGTCTTCTCTAGCTGCCTGCAACTTGGCAAAGGACCCAGTGGTAGCCAGTATTTTATTCACTCTGTTTTCCAAGGTCCCATGTCTTCCATGGGACCAACCAAGACAGGAGGATGGCCATTTTGAATGCATACAAAACTCATTTGGCAGCAAAATCGAGAGCTGAAATATGCAGCTAGATTTCAGAAGCAGACACTTACTAATTGTACCCATGAAGATGAAATCTAGAGGTCAAAAGGATAGATGTGTTTTTTTATAAGATTTATTTTATTTTTAATTATGTGTATGTGTGTGTTTGGTTGTATGTGCCTGTAAGTGTAAGGGCCTGCAAAAGCCAGAGGAGGACATTGGATCCTCTGAAACTGGTGTTACAGATGGTTGTGAGCCACCTAACATAGATGCTTAGAACCAAACTTGGGTCTTCTACAAGAGCCATCACTCAATGCTCAGCTGCCCCCATTCCCCATTCCATCTGAAAGACAATATTCTAGCTGCCTAACTGGTTATGCAAATCCTTGAGTGGCACTTCTTACTCTCCACATTCTGGATGTCATCGTCCTTTCATTCATCTTTGGACTCTTCTTCTCTGTCCTAGCTAAGAAAAGAACCCCAGTCTTTCATCCCACAACTTTTGTTTTTAAAGGAATGCCATCTCTTCTTCTTTCCATCTTCTCTCCAAAATCTGTTTCCATCCCAGGTCTAGCCCTTCATGGCAGGAAACATCCTCACCACTCACCATACCAGTAACCACTGGTAGCACTGTCCGGTAATGCTCTCTGTGATGAAAGCTCAGGTCCGTGCTCTGTGTCTACATAATCTACTGTGTTAGAAAACATGGTTCCTAGGACTGAAGAAATGTTAGTTTTATTTCTGCTGTTTTAAATTGTCACTCTAGTGAGTCACTAGTTAACACAGTCTCTGCTTTATCCATCCCTTCCCGATACATTCCCTTCTACCAGCCTTCAGTGCAAGTCCAAAGCTCTCCTTCTCCCAGAGATGATTTTTCCATCCTTGCCAAAGACTTGGCCCGTATAATTGTCTGGGCCTTGTCTGAAGCCTGGATCCTTCTCTATCACCAGCTGCTCCCTCCAAGTTCCCGACTGCACAATTTCTAAGCACCTTTCTTCTCTTCCTCAAGCTGGCCACACCCCACCCTGTGACTGAGTTCAGTGCCTCCACGTCTTCGTTGGATTCCCACTGATCGACCAATGGGTTTCGCCATGCACCATTCCTCTCACTGGGACTCACATGGCTCTGTATGACAGCTGCTCCTCCAACTCCTCTTCTGCCTGTCATCTGCAATGAGTGAGGGCTATAAATGCCAACCCAGCCCAAATTGAACACAGTCCACATTGGAGGCACCTGATCAATCCTGTTCTAGAAACCATGCTTCCCTATCATCATGAGGAGATGAAAAGAGTTTCGGAGAATTTATGAAATCACAAAGTCATCTATAAAACAAAATAAAAATCAAACTAATGGAGTAGAGATTCAGGCAACAGCATCCATACTCACATGGATTCTTGGGGATGAATTGAAAAAATGACACACCATTCTATCTCTCCACACAAAAATAAATTGGGTCTTCAAGGGCAACACTGTATTCTTCCTTATGTACTAAGTTCCAAGCCATGGGAACATCCTACTAGAAATATTTGTTGGAGACTAATTATTGCAGAAAGGAATGAATGAGTTCATGTCTGCCTCTTGGGCAAATGAAGTTATGGTGTCATGACTATGTTTAAGAGGCAACCGTTTTGAATTGCAACTGTAAAGAAAGATCTAATATAGAGAACTAAAGGACTGCATAGGATATTTGACAGTCATGATGTTACAAATAATCTTGGACTTCAGACAGATTGCAAGAGGTGATGGCAGTGTCATTCCCCGCCCACCTCTTCATGTGCACATGTGTGCGCACACACACATATGATGCCGGTTGTATAGATATAAGTCCATGTGGGCACAATACTGGGTCTGTTCTTTGTTGTTACTGATGTTTGCAGTTCTGTTTTTCAATGATCACAATGCTATTTGGAGAACTCAATGTGCCTGACTTGCATTCCAGCAGTGTTTGGTTGAAAAGCAACTTAAATCCAGACCGTCAGCTTCTGCTAAGGGAATTAGGGTCTCTGTTCAGTATAATAAATGATCCCAAGACAAATATATTTCTTTTTTTAATCCTGTATGGTAGTATATCCTCTTTCCAATACAGAGTCTGGCTCTATTTAGTTTGTCTGATTGCTTTGAAGAACAAGACAGGTTGACTCTGGAAAAACTATGGTCCTCTATTCATTAACGTGTCAATAATACTCAGCCCAGGCATATTGACAGCGGATTAGCTTGGGCTGAGTCTGTGTACAAGACCAATGCCTTCTTTAACCCAGCTTGTTTCCAGATCAATACACCCATCAGCATTCGAAAATTAGCCCAAGATGAGATTCCAATACTGGAGATGGTGTGTCATGGGAAGAGGGCACCTAGCCAAGTCACAGATGTAAACACCTGGCTATGGATTAAACATTTTCCATTAGCTTGGACGTGAGTGAGGATGGATGTAGACTGTATCCCCTCCCTTCCTCCCATTGCCCCACCTCCCAAGCATTCAGTTTCTTTCTTGGAGCTCATATAAGATCTTTGTACTATAATTCCAGATATTTACTCCAGTAAGCATTCATTAAATGCCCAATGTATATAAACCAGTCTTCTCTTTAGGGCAGGCATGTTCAGGTGTGTGCAAGGAGACGTAGAGGAAAAAAACATTGACGAAAACCTGGCTTCTTATTTTCTAAGAAGTGTTAGAATTGTCCCTTTCATCCCCTTTCTTATTCCATGATGGTACCACTTCCTGCAGCAAGCCTCTGGTCAAAGCTCCTAGCCTTTCTTGGTCAATGAAAGACATTCTGTCCAATGAAGGACTTTAGAGGTACTGCCTAGTAAAGATCACGGATGCCTTCCCTGGAGCGTTCACCAACCTTCCCCACAGAATGGCGACTCTTATCTTTTATTTTGTCTACCTATCTACTAGGAAAATCTATTGTATTCCGAGAATGGACACATGCTCGAACAAAACCCTCACATAGCAGTACCTAGGCTGCTATTTATAATGCGCTCAAACACCAGCTATGCAATTCTATTTTAAAACGCTGTTTGCACAAAGTTGTTTGAAAAAAAAATACTCATTTATATAACCAATAAAAGAAAGAAAACATAATTTCCTTTGGTTAAAAAAAACACTAACTGAAAGTTATAAAACCCTGACGTGACCATATTCTGCCACAGCCTGATAGCTTCCGGTGTACCGCTGCCATCACCACTGACTAAGCTGTATCCAAGTGTCCCCGTATCCTAACCTGCTCTCCTCTCACGGCTGCTCACGCTACCCTGCTTCTCCCAGTTCTGATTCATGACCCCGGTCTGCTTTCTTCATCTTTCACTGAGACTACCCTTCACTCTTCCAATTTGTCCTTCTCAGTCCCTCTTCATTTTTTCTCTCTCAGCAGTCACCCCGGGTCTTCACCCTACTCTCATGCATACCGCCAGGAAAGCAGGCTTCAGGGCCCTGCCTGACACTTGCCATCTCACTGGTAAAGAGAGCCAGGGACCAAGATGGGGGCTGTGGAGAGGGAACTCCAACCTAGAATTTCACTTCCCAGGATCTTCAGTTCTGAGAGAACAAACAAGTATGTAACCTACTGTAAAACATGACTAAATGTTTAAAAATATCAATAGTGCTTAAAAAAAATCAAAGGGAACATTCAATAGCCCAGTGACTAACAGGTAAATACTCCTCCATGGGCCAAGCTTCCTAGTAAGTGCTTTAGTTCATCTGTGTGTAAAATGTAAGTCCAACCCCACTCCTGACATTCACCCCGTTTCACATAAGAGGCCCCTGAGGGGCAGCAATACTTGTTTTAGGCCTTTCCATCAAAAAGCAGACAATGTGACTCAAAACTGTTGTTCAATAACTAGGAATCCATCTATTTGTTAAGTGTAGTTTGCTGCCCAAGGACCAGTCTGATTTTGAGTAATGTGAATGATAGCTCCATGATGTGAGAAACAGAGGGAGTAGAACCTACAGAAATACCACAAGGCCCACCCAAACACCAGCAACCGCCCCCCCCCCAAGCAAACTGTGTGCCTAGCAAAGTACAAACAAGAAGAAAACAGAACAGCCAAGCAGGGACCCTGAATCCAGTCTTACAGCAGAGACATGGGGGAGATGATCCTGGGTTGGATGAGGAAAGAAGAAAGTACAGTACGTATGTGTGTGTGTGTGTGTGTGTGTGTGTGTGTGTGTGTGTGTGTGTGTGTGAGTGGGGTGGTTGAGATAAGTTCCTGGGGTGAGGTAAGATCACTGCTGCCTGGCTCTGCTGTCACTGAAGGCTGCTCTAGGGCATGGCACATATACTGCAACAGAAGAACATTACAATTCTGGTCTTAAAATAAAGCAAACTTGTAGTTGGATGCAACATTTTAAAAATGCTAAAAGGAGGGAAAGCCAAGGAAAGCAATAATTAGAAGATAATTTTGTACAAAAATATATTATTGGAATACAAGAAAAACTAGTTCAACCCAACAAGCAAATTATTGGAATGTTCATTGTCTAGCTGCAAGATGACAACCAAAAAGGTGTGCTTGCTGGGGAGAAGAGCAAGGATCATCTTGGTTTAGGATCATGGAAAAAACAGTAAACATTGACATTCCCAGCCATTCATTTAGGCCTCCCAGCCAAGCCCCACTCACCTTGTACAATGAGGTGGACCCTGGAGGTCTTAGGGTGGTTGTCTGTCTGTACCGAACAGGTATAAGGGCCCTCGTCATACACATCCACATTCTGGATCTCAATGCTGTACTGGGTCTGGGTGTTACTCAGGAGGACCACACGAGGATCTAGGCACCACTTGTCATTTCCAGCATAGAGGATGGTACTGCGGTTTAGCCAAGCCACCCGGGTGACTCGGTTGTCAATTGTACACCTGCAAGACAAAGCCAGACAGATAAGTGAAAGGAGCAGAGAGAAAACAGAGGCTGTTAGAGCCAGGCTAGCATGCCTCCTCATGCCTTATTTCCCCCCTTCATATCTAGTGGACAAACATGCATTTCCTATGTTTGTTTTGCTATGGGTAGAACATTCCAGAACTCACCAGTAGGGCACTTGTAGGATTGTGGCTTTAGAATATCCAGTTATCCTAACTTTCTAGATTGTGAGGAGTTTAGTTCCTCTAAAGCCACAGGGAGAAATGACCATTTCAAATAACCTCTAAGAGCAAACCCAAGGCATCTTAAATACTCAGAATATGTAAAATGTTAGAATTCTACTGGCCCTCCTAGCTCAGCTCTAGGATCCCCATGCTATGGACAGTGATAATCCTCATTGTCACTGTCTGGGTATTTGGGATGTGCTAAGCTGTTCAATACTTGCAACAGCCCTGTGGGGTGTATTTTATTGGAAAAAGAATTCAGGCACAAGGATGCTAAATGCTTTTCCAATTCACAGTTAATATGTGCTGGCTCAGAAACCGAGCTTTAACTACAAACCATCCTTCGACTCATCTCAATATAGCAAATTCTAACAGAAGGCTTCTGAAGTCAAAACTAAATACGGACCACCACTATTGCTATTTATCTTCATTATACCCAGGGCAGAAATGTTCAATTATTGCTAGACTAAAGACATTTTCTAAAATCTCAAAACTGTTTTGCACATATAAAAATAGATTCCCTTTCTTTTTATTTTTGCATCTGGAGTCCTCAAGTTGTGGAAGCTTCCTTTTCTTTTCTGTACTTTGAAACCTCCCAGTAACTCTTGCCAAGTCTTCATCATATCTCTCTGTCTGTATTCATTTCCCTCTCTAGTTACACCAAGTATGTCCGATGGCCTAAGGCTAAATTCACAAACACAGTGTCCTGCTCCTTACATTACAATGCTTGGAATAGCTGTGTTGCATGGTCTGTATAATGATGCCTCAAATGTCTGCACTCTTTTCGTGTATAAAGTACTTTCACATTCACACTGTCTCATTAGTTTCCTGCAACAAATCTTGGAGGAAGATGCTCAAATCCGTTTCCTGTTCCGCAGACCAGGGCTTCAGTGTTCCAACTTGCCTGGATCTTACGCAGTGAAAGAGAAAGTGCTGAAGACATTCCCCCCTTGAATGTCTCATTCCCAGCACTGGGTGTGCTTCACAGTGTGCAAAGGTGACCTTTTCGGTGGGAAGGTATCATGGTTTACTTTGATTGCCAACTTCACTGGCTTCCGAAATTCTTGGAAACTAATAAAGCATATACACAGAGTTATCTTTGAGAGGATTGGGGGAAGAGAGAAAGATCTGCTAAGAATTTGGGGTTCACCATCTCAAGGGATGCCGCAGAGACATCCTCTTTCTCTGATTCTTGCTGCTATGACATGAACTGCTCTGCTCCGGCCTCCCACCTCACCAAATATGATGGACTTGCACCTGTGAAACCATGAACTACAATAAACCTTGCCTTCTACAAGCTGTTTCACTCAGGTATTTTTCCACTGCGTCAGAAAGCCAACCCGAAATGTCTTCGTGTCTGTTGAATCCTCAAAGTGGTCTGTTACCATTAAAAGGGAAAAGAAAAAGGGGAAAGAAAAAAAAAGAGCCAAGCGCTGCCAGTGAGCCCCTACACTTCCTGCTTCCTGACAACCACGGGAGGTCACTCAGGCACAGGTGGACATTTTGCTGAGAGTGAGTGCCTGTGGGGAAATCTGCCCAATCAGAAGTACTTTTGCTCGAGGGTTCAGCAGGTTTGCAGCACTTAGGGGATTTTCTGGCAATGCTGGAGAAATGGAGGGGTGATGTTGACATATGGCATGAAAGTGATAGAAGACCCAACTAGGGAGATGCCAGGGTACTAGCTCAAAGCATGGGCATGTGCCACTTATATCAGAATCTCATGTGTAGCATGAATCTTAAAAGGTTTTATTAATAAAATCAAACCCAGGCCAGTTATTGGGGTGAATGCTGGAAGATCAGAGAAGCAGAACAAGCCACAGCTACCTCACCTCGCCAGTTCCTCAGCTGGTCCTGTTTCCTCAGACTGGAAGCCTCTGAGTCCTCATATCCAAATGAATCTCAGCTGAACTGTGCTGCTAGAAACCTGAAAGCTTAACCAGCCAAAATGCTTCTAGTTTCTGGTCCTCACACCTTATATATCTTTCTGCTTTCTGCCTCACTCCCTGGGATTAAAGGCTCACTTTCTGGGATTAAAGGCATGTGTCACATGCCTGGCTGTTTCCAATGTGGCCTTGAACTCACAGAGATCCAGAGGGATTTCTGCCTCTGGAATGCTAGGATTAAAGGTGTGAGTGCCGCCATATTCTAGCCTAAGTATCTAGTGACTTTTCTTTTCTCTGACCCCAGATAAGTTTATTAGGGTACACAATATTTTGGGGAACACAATACCACCACACACATGAAAGGTTGGTAAGCTCCACCATTCCTTATATTACTGATTCAGTCTTTGAGAACCCAGAAACATCAAGTTATAACAAGAACTCAGCTGAATCAAATATAGACTGGAGTTGGAAAGTTACTGATATAGAACAGTGCATCCAGGACCACCTATATAATTTATGGAGCCTGAGGCCAAATGAAAACACCAAGACCTCTGTCAATGAGAAGGTCCAGATGTCGAGAGTGGAGTGCCAAACCAAATGTGGGTTTGCAAATCAATAGTCATGAAGCCAGCTCTACTGCTCCTCAAACTTGTAAACTTCGAGGGGAGGCTGCTGAAAAATAGGTTCTGATCTGGTACACCAGAGGTAGGGTCTGAGACTGCTCTCTCTCTCTCTCTCTCTCTCTCTCTCTCTCTCTCTCTCTCTCATTTCTATACATATCCGAGGCTACCAATCTTAAACTTGGTCCTTCTGCTTCAGCCTCCAGAGTACTAGGATTACAGGCCTGTTTCATCACGCCTGATTTAAGGTTCTGTTTCACCTAGGCATTCACCTAGAACCCTGGGCCATTCTTTGGGGTGATTTTATTTGGAGGTGAATTGTATACACATTAGTGTTTGGGAAGCCGTGAGACTACACCTCACTGCTAACATGTGGCAGGCAAGCAAGCAGCTTCTACACCACAAACAGCATCACCATCACCTGGGAGCTTGTTAGAAGTACAAAATCCAAAGCCCAACATCAGAGGCAGTGAATCAGAAACTGCATTTTAATAAGCTCTCCAGGTAACTTGATTTTGCACAGTGATGCTTAGACTGGTCTAGACAATATTCCAAGCCTCCTTTTTGGCTTTAAGGACAACTTCCAGAACACACTGAGAGTGTCCAAGACAGAGTTCCGAGAGATCCTTGACAAAGGAAAGTCCTGATAGTGCTCCCTTCCTTTCAAATCTCACAGAACAATGGTCTTCATCTTGGGCTGCATTGACTGAAACCTGGCTCTGAAATCACTACTGCTTTGAAACTCCTGAAGTACAACTCATTCCACTGCTCGTTTTACTAGAAGCAACTTTAAGGGAAGACCCTGTTCTCAACATTTCTTGGGTTCAAGCAGATTACCAGAAACCTACACTCATGGCCAATGCTTGCTGAACACATACCTCTACTTGCTAAGTATCATGCAAGCCTATTCCATAAACTATTAGCATCTCAAAAAGTTTGCTACATTGATTTGTTGTTGCTAACCGACAGATCAAGTTAGCCGAGCCTAAGAAACATCTATATAAGAAAATCACAGTGATATTAACATTTGTTTTACTTTTCGCCTTTGATGTTCTTTAATGTCCTTACAAGACCTCAAACACATTTAAGCCCCAGGTTTTCAGACTCAGTTTTCATCAGAATAACTGGCTGATAGCACACAGCAGGGATAGCTGGGTGGTTCTGGGTTGGGAACTGAGATACTGCCGTTTGTTGTAACCCCAAGGGTGCCCATAGTGGAGGGTGATGGCCTGGACACCACACTGTGAGGACCACTAATTCAGAGATCTGGTTTCTGCTGAAATGAGAACAACAGAGTGGATGGGGTTAGGAAATGACTCTTGTCAGAAACAATTTTCCATTACTTTGCTGGAGAAAACTTTCTTGTAACCAACGTGTTCTGGGAAGCCAGAAGCAGATTCTTAGTGACTTTTTCTCCCAGCAGCTGAAATTAAAGCAGATAGCAGTTAAATGCCCATGGTGCAGGAAATGCTGACCAGCAGACCCTGAGCCATGGGCATAGTTGTTGACACCCACTGCTCAGGCTTCTCACAGCCTTCAGGGATACCACAGGGACTCAATCTTCAGAGGTAGTACCAGAGGGATGTCCTGGGTTACCATAGAGGTCTAATTATTGAATACTGACTGAAGGAGAAGCCTTCTCATCACACTACATCACTTTACAGGGCCCAGGGTGGTTCCTCAGCAAACAAGCTAACACTCCAAATGCAGCCAATTTCCAGCACAGTTATGGATTCCCTATGATACACTACACTGAAAAGTTGGCATAGTTTCAGCTGCGGTTTTGGGCACATCCAAGGTCATGTTGAGATGTCCAAACTGTCACTGCTGTGTATCAGTCTTGCTGAGTCTCCATGGAATTAACACAGGCGTCTGCAGAGATGGATCACAAAGGTAACTCGGCCGCCAACTCCTGTCACCTGCTCATACCTGCCCCCATCTATCTGTCTCATTTATCCAGTCTCTATAACAATGCAGAGGAGACATTTCTTCCAGGAAAAAAAAAAAGTGAAATAGATAATTGCTCCTCAGCCAGAGTGAGCGCTCAGTTGGTGGGGAGAGGCAGACGTTAGGGTGGGAAATTTGGCCAACAGTCCCCTCTTTACAGAAATGCCATGCCTCCAAAGAGTTCTACGTAGTTATTCCTGAAGCACACCACTATTTCACCTTCCTTAGGAAGACATTAAAGATATGATTAAATGAGAGTGAATAAGGTTTTAAACTTATCCTTCTCTGACAAACCAAGCCAAAGAAGCTGGAGCTGGACTCTCAT